TGCACATGTATAGATGACAAACACATTTGACCTTGAGAAAATTGATTATATTTTCAGAAAAGAAAGAAAAAAAATACACGACTTCATCTATTTAATTTGGGTTAATATCATGAAAAATCCAAAATTGGTATACATGTGACAAATTTACCACAGACTAATTTTTTAGTCACCAAAAACTCCAAACTGGTATACTTGTGACAATTTTTCTCTCCGTAATTTTTTGTGGGCCGTTTTTTATATCATTTTTGCTGTTCTAGCCTCGGCCCATGGGCTGAAGCTTAGTTGCTTTGGCCCCAATTTGTGATTCTTGTATGTTACCCTCTATGACTTGTATGATATATTGACATAATCTTCTATTTGCTTAGTTAAAGAAGAAGAGATTCCATGGAGGCCAAGGCTGTTTAAGTGATAAAATTTGATTTTTTTTTTAAAAACCGAGATATCTCCAAAAGGAAGCCGTTTCTCATATGAGCCTAGGACAGGATGAGAATATTTTTGCTATTTTTCATCTTATGCAAAGTAGATTTTTTTTATAACTCAGGGGCACGACCACAAAGACATGGTGAGGTGGTGAGGTTCATGGAATTTCCTGCGAGTCCCATGACCCGGTCAAGTCACAGGCTTCGATCGGTGTATGTGGGCCTTATCCAGAATAGTTTTTATGCAGTTTGTGAGATTCAAATAAGTGACTTACAATTCCTGAGCTAGAATATTTTGATGCCCCAATAAACCGCATTGACCCAGGGTACATCCACTTTTTCTTACTCACCATTGCCGACATAACTCCATTTATTTCCACGTTAAAGGTTTGTTGATTAGCTAATATGCATGTGATGTGAGTGTATAATCTCGTAGTGTGAACGATAGCAATGAGGGCATAGACTAGTAAATAGAAAATGTAAAATGGTTAATGTCAACTTGGGTTTGACAACTACTGGGGGTTGCCTCATTGGCCATCCTTCTCACTTGAGAATGAGGAGGTTGGGAGTTCGATTCCCCACTTTTTAGGGCGACTGGGGATGGGGACACGTGAGTGAGGGTACTTTGGCTTGTAAAATAGAAATAGGATAAGATAAAACCTGGCAAAAAATAAACTTGGGTTTGACTATAGTAAAAAATAAATGAATAAATAAACCTCTACTTGTGCTGCAAAACTGGATTTACATTTAGAAATTCAGTAAATTGATTTATTAATTAGAAAATGCGTGCAATTTATTCTTACCGAGGCTAGTCACTCAGCTTTTCATGAGTAATCTTTAATAAGGAAAAAGCCACAAAAAAATCCTCAAATTATGCCCACTGTAACACAACTACTCTGAACTTTTTTATGCGACATTAAAAACCCAAAACTATGTCTACTGGAACATATTTACCCTAAACTTTTTCTTGTGACATAAAAATCTCCATACTTTTACCTATGTTACACATTTACCATATGTCAAGGTTCTTTGAGATAATTTTTGAGTTAAAATAAGGTCGTTTTTATTTTGCTTGTGCCCATGTCAACATTGTTTACTTTATGGTGTCCATGTAGGAGATTTCTAACGGTTTACATTGACAGAATTTTGATCAAAGGTAAATGTGTCACAAAAAGGTACGAGTTTGTGAATTTTTTGTGTCACTGAAAAAGGTTTAAAGTAAATGTGTCACAATGAGCATAATTTAGGGTTTTTGATTGTTTTTGCCCTTTTCTTTAATTATTATTTTCTCTTTTACTTCTTTTGGTTACTGCTATAGTGGAGTCACTGGTCCTCGCTCCTGCTTATAATCATGCAACAGTCTCTTTGCGTATCTTGGGACTTCTGGATTAAGAAGGTTTTCAGCATTTTGCTAATTCACTCTAGTTCAAAATCAAGGGGATCACCCTAGAGAAATTATGGGATTTAAATTCACATACATGTTCGACCTATAGGAGTTGCCTCATTGCTCATTCGGTCCTTTCTTTAGCCGTGATCTTCTGATTAAAGTCAATGGAGATGATGTTCACAATGTTGTCTTGACCTGGCTTTGGTCATGGTCTCGTGCATGTGAGTTGCGTGGTTTGCCCAGGTAAAAGGTGGGATATGAGCACGCACCGGAGAGAAAGTTCTCAGCAAACCCCGTACAATGTGCACTCGAAGAAATGGTAAATTTCATTACTCAACGAGCTTTAAGAGTGGTCAATCAAATGACCAGTTCTTTACTCTCTCTCTCTCTCTCTCTCTCTCTCTCTCTCTCTCTCTCTCTCTCATACTTAAAAGGCGGTGACCCCATGATCCAATGACATCAATCATGCTCTCTGAGATGGCTGAATACTCGATACTATTAGAAAATTCAATGCAAAAGTTTAAGCTAACGGATAAAGGAAAATCACATGTATATAAAGAGCATATAAATCCCATTATTAAGCGACATAAGATATTTCTGCACCTTAAAAGAAAAACAAGTTTGGTAATTATTAGTGCGTAAGATTAAGCGCTCTAGTAAGAATCAACTACACAAGTCAAACATAAAAAGAACTAGTCCGCTTTGTCATCTAAATTGAATTACATGGACATCTTGGAAAACTTCACCGCGTGATCCATAACATATACGTCTTTCTGGGAGAAGATTAGCAAAATCCCTAGTTTTATAATTTTCTATTGGCGTGATCATACTGTAGTGTCCGGAATTTTCAATATTTGAGTATATCTAATTAATTACTCTATAATTACGTAAAAGAAGTGCTAAGAAAGTGAGAAATACAAAAGATGAGAAAATTCCAATCGATAGTGATGAAAATGGGTCGTATAATAAACGGAGCACATAAGTTGCATACCATAGGAAAATCTTATGAGTTTCAAACTAATGCAGATGAAGGAGAAAAACGAACAGCCTATATCCTAATAATTTTCGTTCATTGAATGGTCAAATGCCTAGCGCTAGGAAGAAGTAATAGTCAACTCGAGGCATATCATGCGTCACTATAAAGTGTGAACGTGATTTCTCTCCTATATATATCGGTTCATAATATTAGAGAGAAATGTGTAGGAAAAATATGCATGTCTTAAAGATGGATCTTTCTTGTTTAAATAAGCTCTCGAAATTGAAATCATTTGAAGAAAACCCGACTCAAATGGGCAGTCGAATTGTGAGATACTAAGTAAGGACGTGGAGTGAGACTAAGAAATATTGGACCCATACACCCCACGGATACCTACTAACAACCTTATATTAAGCTTGGTGGTCGACCAATAAAAATGAATAAACAGAAAAAATTTTCAAAATCCACAAAAATGTTTATATAATAATTATTGATAATGAGAACATTTTCTATTAACTAATTATTTCAATCAATACAAACGATCATTTTTAGGAAAAGTTTCCGGATCATTCATTTTCCGCAAAACAAATATAGCCTTAGATATGCTCCAAGATTTTGATATTGCCTACTAATCTCCTTATATCATGCAAGACGTAGTCCATGGTTCAGATTTGCCAAAAAAATTATTTTGCAAAACATAAATGCTAATCCATAATCGGTAAAGTCGACTGCGTTTTGTGGGTTACTAACTTCAAACAAGGTTCCTCTACTTTGTTTAGTGTCTCCATTGATACCTCAACAACTCTGACCCGTTTTATATATTAGTTATAAGTGTCGTAGCTACATAACTTATTCGCATAGACGAAAGAACACTCTCCCACTATTCCGAGTGCAATTCGATTTATTCTTGCCCCTATGCCATCCTAGAAGCTTTTTAGAATCCACTCCTTGTTCGGGTCCTCTCACCTTGGCGATCACTTTCTGCTCTCATCAGATCGGATCATCATAGGCCCACTAGCTTCCACGTGGCTCGTCGCCGAATAACACACTTACTAGAGGAAATTCCACTCTAATAGATATTATGACATTCTTGAATTAACTCATTTGAGATATTATTAGCTTTGGCTCGTCTCATAGAGAGTTTCGCGGTTTTGTCTTTCGGCCTAGAGGCAGGCATTTTCTCAGGTTGTCACCCATTTTAGTAGTGCTCTCACCAGAGCATACTTAATATTGGAGTTCCAATGTTAAGCATCGCCGTTACGTCAAAAGATGCATTTTGTTAGTTAATTCCAATTTCACATTTAGTCCTGGAATGCTCTCGCCTTGTTCTGTGTACAATTCAATTCGTTTCTGCCCCCTTCGCCATATTAGAAACCTGCCATGAGTCACTCCTAGTCCAGGCATTTTGGCTCCGACGATCACTCCCGTGCCTTCATCAGACCCGATCGATACATCGTGAGCTTCTCCTATAGTATGGCAAGCACCGCCCCTAAAACAACTCTGAGTGAGATATATAGTGGTTTTAAATGGAAAATCTACTTGACTAAAAAACCAAGTGTTTGATCAGTTAATCAACTCGAAATTTATGATCATAATACTATTAATTTCAATTCCATACTATGTATAATCTTTTCGAGATATCCACTACTTGTCCTTAACATCCTTATTTCTAGCGAGGAAATTAGTCCAAAATAAAATAAAAGCGCAATGGACATGGTGGATAAAATTATTTTATCGTTTATAAGTTGCGGCGCTCCAAGCCTTACTGAATTGAGGTCCAATGAATCGTTCCGCTCCTCTAGACTTCTACACATTGACCGACGCCAATTCGGTAAATGCACTCCTTCTTTCCAAAAAACATAAATAAATAAAAATCAAGATTAGAAAGTGGCGAGACGTCGGACCGCGACAAAGTTCTAATGGAGGCGCCCCCAGTTTTTGATCTTTTGCCAAGTCGTATGTAATTTTGTTCTTCCCCAGAGAACATTAGACAATTTAGTTCGTCAAGGTGACCGAAGTTGCCAAGCATTTTAATTGATTGACTTTTATCTTGGGTTAATCGTCACATAAAACGCGTTGAATAGTATATTCAAATTATTCAATACCTACTACTAAATAACATAACATATGATAATATAACATAATCAACTCGTGTCTCTTGACGTTATAAATACCAACGAAGAGCATCCTCTATCTCATCGACAGAGTGCCTAAAACCTAGGCATATTTTAATAGCTACTACTACCACTTCTTCTTCTTCTTTCATCCTCGTTGTTGTGGTCGACAGTCGCCACACAGACCCTGTCCGGTTGATTGATTTCCGATACGTTGTGTGTAGTTCGGTTCCCGTAAGCGCGAAAAATGAGTCGATTAATGACATTGTTGCTATGTGTTTTCGCGACGATGGCATTGGCGGAGGCTAGAGTTCGTCGCTACAAGTGGGACGTGAAGTATGAGTTCAAGTCACCGGACTGCTACAAGAAGCTGGCCATGACCATCAACGGAAAGACCCCAGGTCCGGCCATTCTGGCACAACAGGGAGACACCGTCGTTGTGGAAGTCACCAACGGCTTGGTGACAGAGAATCTCGCAATTCATTGGCACGGAATCCGACAAGTATGTAGTCAAACAAATTGAAAATATGTTAAGAAGGTCTCGGTCAAGTGTTTGATGAAGATTTGTGATAAGAAGTTTATGAGACGATGATTTCGAGTTGGACTAAATTGCAGATTGGAACCCCATGGAGCGATGGAACAGGGGGTGTGACTCAGTGTCCCATTTTTCCAGGAGACACTTTTACCTATCGTTTTGTTGTTGATCGGGTGAGTTTCCATATAAAATACAAAGATTATCGTTCACCCATATTCACGCAAGCTTTTCTAAACCGTCACATCATGTGAGGTTTCTATGTAGCTTCATTGATAGTTCTTGAAAATTGGGCTCTCATGTGTTAAGTGCAGCTCAATGTTGTTGTCACCCAAATTTTTTCCAACAACACTTGTTCATATGTAGATCGAATATCTAGATGAACACACAACGGGCATGAACACACATATGATTAAAGTCCCATCTTGCAAGGGTGGCTCTAGATGACATTAAACTTTTACCTTATGTAGCCCGGAACATACTTGTACCACGCTCATTATGGGATGCAAAGAGAGGCCGGACTGTATGGATCGATCCGAGTTTCGCTGCCGGACAGCATGGTCAAACCATTCACTTACGACTACGACAAGAGCATCATCCTCAGCGACTGGTACCACCAGAGCACTTATGAACAAACTTCTGGTCTATCCTCCATTGACTTTGTTTGGGTCGGGGAGCCTCAGGTAATTAAGTTTCTTTGATTCCCAATTCCAAACTTAAAACTCCATTTTCACTCATTGCTCATATTCTTTTTCATTCTCTTTTGTTGCTTGAATTGTAGTCACTGCTAATCCAAGGGAAAGGAAAGTTTGATTGTTCCAAATTGGCCCCTCCAAGCTCAGATCCATCGGCTTGTAATGCAACCAATCCTGAATGTTCAACGTACATACAAACAGTCGTCCCCGGAAAAACATATCGCCTCAGAATTTCAAGTTTGACCACTCTATCTGCTCTCAGCTTTCAAATTGAGGTAAACTTTCATCACTTATAAATTATTCTTTTGGTTCTTCCTTTTCATCGCTTCCTAGACCGATTTCAAAGTCTAGAAGATGAAGGACCTTCCCTATTAACATTTCATTTCATATTATGAGATCATGTGTTAAATTATCTTGTAATGTTGCATACAGGAATCTTTATAATGACCTTATACACACCTTAGTTTCATTCCACTTAATAAGTTGAATTTTTTGGCTGGGATATTTAAGAAATTTCACAAATTTAGAAGTCGGGGAACGGTGACGAAATGTTATAGTGTCCACTTGCTGAGCAAATAAAAATATATATCCACTTGTACCAAAAAAGTTAAACAACGTTCTATGCACTTTACATACCCACATTTTGAGATATTACTTGATTTTTTTTTTCTGGAATCAAGTGAAGTATCTACTTGTATTTTGGAATGAACTACTTGGATAATATGACAAATATAACTATATTTTGCAGGGTCACAACATGACTATAGTTGAAGCAGACGGGCACTATGTAGAGCCAATTGTGGTCCAAAATCTGTTCATCTACTCGGGCGAGACGTACTCTATCTTGATCAAAATCGACCAAGAACCGTCGAGAAATTACTGGATCACGACCAACATTGTTGGCCGGGATGCCACGGCCACAACCCCTCCTGGTCTGGCTGTCCTTAATTATTACCCGAACCATCCGAAGCGGGTCCCACCCACGGATCCGCCTGCCGGCCCGATTTGGAATGACGTCACGCCACGATTGGCTCAAAGCTTGGTTATCAAAGCCCGCCAAGGATACATCCACACTCCACCGCCCAAATCTGACCGAGTGATTGTGTTCCTCAACATGCAGAACGAGATCGACGGATATGTTCATTGGTCCGTGAACAATGTGTCACTCACGCTCCCGCACACGCCATACCTGATTGCCCTCAAGGAGAATCTCCACCACGTGTTTGATCAGCGCCCGCTGCCTGACCAGCTATATAACTTTGCAGACTACGATATCTACCACGTCGCAAACAACACCAATGCCACCTCTAGCAACGCAATCTATAGACTAAAGTTCAACACTACAGTGGACATCATATTGCAAAATGCAAACACTTTGAACGCGAACAACAGCGAGACGCACCCGTGGCACCTCCACGGCCATGATTTCTGGGTCCTTGGGTATGGGACGGGGAAATTTGACATCGATAACGACCCAAAGAAGTACAATTTGGCAAACCCGATCATGAAGAACACGGTGCCGGTCCATCCTTACGGGTGGACCGCACTCAGATTTATTGCGGATAATCCGGGCGCTTGGCTGTTCCATTGCCATATAGAGTCTCATTTTTATATGGGCATGGGCGTGGTGTTTGAAGAAGGTATCGAAAAGGTGGGCAAGTTGCCTTCGGAGATCATGGGTTGTGGTGAGACAAAAGGCTTCGAGAGACCATAACAAGATTATCCATACGATGATCCTCCGTTTATCTGCGAAATCGATAAGACACGGACGAGTTGAGACGCAGATACTAGCAAACTTGACTTTACTCGGCATGAAAGATTGGTGATGTGGGACAAGATTTCGCAGAACTGGATTTACACTCTGACATTCAGTAAATTGATTAATTTTCTGTGGACAGAAATGTATGCACTTTATTGTACCAAGGCTAGTCACTCTTTCTTTGAATAAATTTCTGTTTATTTCTTTTTGTTACTACTATTATAGAGTCACTTCTTCTCGTTCCTGGTTATAATCATGTAGCGATCTTTTTGCATATCTTGGACTTACGGATAAAGAAGGTTGTCAGCATTCTTCATTTCTTAACTCTAAATTATGCTGACCACACTATGAGAAGTAATTGGAGCGTGTAACCCATCGGTCAGAGAGTGGGAAGGAAGAGTTGCCTCCTTGCTGATTTGGTTCTTTCTTTAGTCGTCATCCTTATGATTGTGGTCATTGGAGATGATGTTCACAATGTTGTCTTGACCTGGCTTTGGACATGGTCTCATGCATGTGCAGTTGCGTTGTTTGTCCAGGTAATAGGTGGGATATAAGCACGCGACAGAGAGAAAGTCGTCAGCAAACCAGTTACAATGTGCACTCAAAAGAATGGCAAATTTTTTTGTCAACGAGCTTTAATTAGTTGTTAATCAAATGACTAGTTGCAGTAAATATCTCTCTCTCATACTCAAAGGCGGTGAGATGGGGGTACCCATGATCCAGTGTTGTTAATCGTGCTCACTATTAAAATGTTCAACCCAAAAATTTAAACCGATAGGTAAAGAGAGACCGCTTGTATGTATAGCGCGTAGAAACCCCGTTGTCAAATCATGCCGAATATTGCAATGCCCTAAGAGAAAAACAAGTTCCATGATCATTAGTGTGTAGGATTAAGCTCTCTTGAAAGAATCAACGATACAATTGAAACATTAAAAAAACTAGTCAACAATCTGCTATGCCTTGTCCTCTAAATAGCATTTCAGGGACATCTTGGAAAAATTCATTGCGTGGTCCATAATACAAATGTCTTTCGGAGAAAAAAAGATTAACAGAAACCCTAGTTTTATAATTTTCTATGGCGTGATCATACTATAGTGTCGGGATTTTGAATATCTAAGTATATCTAATTAAGTGCTCTACAATTACGTAAAAGAAGTGCTAAGAAAGTGAGAAATACAAAAGACGAGAAAATTTCCAATCAACGATGATGAAAATAGGTTGTATAAAAAACCCAACACATAGTCGTGTACCATAGGAAAATCTTATGAGTTTTGAACTAATGCAAATGAAGGGGAAAGCAAACACCCTATATCCTAATAATTTTCGTTCATTGAATGGTCAAACACCTAGCGCTAGGAAGAAGTAGTAGTCAACTCGAGGCATATCATGCGTCACTCTTAAGTGTGAACGTGATTTCTCTCCCAACATATCTCCACCCATAATATTAGAGAGAAACATATAAGGAAAATATACACTACTTGAAGATGGCACTTTTTAGTTTAAATATGTCTCGAATTTGAAATCATTTGAAGAAAATCCGACTCAAATGGGCGGTCGAATTGTAAGATACGAAGTAAGGACGTTGAGTGAGAATCAGGAAAATTGGATCCAGGCACCCCACGGATACCTAGCAACAACCCCATATCAAGCTGGGTGCTCGACCATGCACTGGTGAGTTGCTCGGCCAGTTGGGCTCGCATATCCCATGTGCTTTGGCGATCACATCGGATTCTTATCTTAAGTGGGCGCCTGGAACACGATCAAAATAGGATTTCGCTGAACGTGGCATATATTTGAGTGTTCTAGGCTTCTTGATGGACGTGTTAGATTCTACCTCATAAAGATATTAGCATATCAGCCGCAAAGAAAGTTATGGAAGATCCTTTGTGAGATCTGTTCCTAGTTTCATGAGAATCCTGTGAGGGATAATCTGTGAGTTTGTTGAGTGTAATTTGAGGGTGTGATGCGAGAGTGATTGTCTTGTTTAATCACTTGTTTCGCTTAATCTATAAGAAAATCTTTACTGAACTATTGTGAAAGAATTGTGAAGGAGATTCTTCATTTTCATATGTTAATTTTAGGACATTATCTTCGAATCAGGTGATTTTTAATTATATTTTAAACAAGTTATTTGATTAGCTTACGTGATAGAAATTAGGTTATCTTTCTTACTAATTTCCTTATCATGATTTTAAATTAGAAAGTTCTATATACTTTTTGACTATGATTGGTAGCCACGATAAAAAGTCATAATATGATAAAATTTATCCTAACTTATTTGGTTCTCGCCCAAGATAGGATAAAATCGGATATAATGGAATATAGCCCTAATAAATATATCCCATGGGGAGGTGGCATAAAGATAGATAGGATTTCTTATATTTGTGGTGTAAGAGCTATTTTTTTCAAATAAAAAACTTATTAAATTAATAAAATTAAAATAATATGAATAATATTTAAATTCCAATATAAAAATTAAAAAATCAAATTAAAAATTTTCGTTTTTATTTATTTCTATTTCTATTTATATTTTTGAATTTCTTTCTACTCTACAATATATATTTTGTGTGTATATAATAATTGTATAGTTTATTATTTAATAAAATTTTTATTAAGGAGTGATGGAAGGGAATAAAAAGAAACAAAAAAAAAAGAGGTGGAAAAATAAATTAAAAATTATCCTAAACAATTGCATTCGTACCAATTCAGTCATAAACCTTTCAATTGTGCCAATTTTTTTGAACATAAATTGTGCCAATTGAGTCCTAAAACTTTTGACAATTTGCCAATTTAACCATTCCAACCACTTTTGGCTAGAAATTGTTGACTTGAATGTCGACTATTCTACGTGACACAGCCGACACTGACATCAATAATCTTAACAAATTTTTCATAAAAAATTTCGAATTTTTTTAATAATTTTATATTTTTTCTTTTCCTTTCTTTTCTTTCCTTTTCTTTTTCCTTATTCCTCCACCGGTTGCTGGGCCTTGGCGACGGCCGGCGACTGACCACATACCATATTTATACCCGAACAATATGCATATGAAAGGAAATAATATAATAAAAAAATTAACTATATGAAAAAATAACAAAATATCAAATAATATTTCTACTATCTAATAATATATCTAACAATATCCTCTTATAGGAATTTCTATAATATCCATAAATATACGTCAACATGACTCTTCGAGACTGAGACGTGACTAGCCCGAGACGGAAGAAGTTTACGGTGAAGAAACAAGAAAACTGGGTCAATGCTTTTCTCTTCTCATGATATCAAATAAACACACACTACATGCTTCATTATCATTTAATTGTATACATTGTTGTGGAAAGTTATTTGAAGGCATGAAAAGAATGGGGAAAATGGCTATAACCTCAAATTACCCGAATTTAGAGCTTCGGGGCGGTGTTGAAGGGGAAAATTCTTATCTAGACATGATTCACCGCGATCGACAAAATTTGAATGTTTCAATCATACATCTATATCATCATTATCGCTGATCTCTTGGTTTTCTTCGTTTAAAAAGGAAATCAATTTAAGTTATTTGGATGCATTCCAAGATCATGAGACAATCCAATGGATCATGCAAGAATGAGCCAAAATGGTTCGGACATGCCGAAAATTTTGCGGCACATGTCTTATCCATAATCAATAAAGTTGACTGTTGCGGGTTCCTAACTGCAAATCGCTCTATTTGCTTGATCAACTATTGGGATGGCCTTAGATTTAATATAAATTTTTTCACATTTCATCTTGACATGATTTGCGAGGCAATTTCGGCATACTTCAAGCAGAGTTGACTTGACTTTTTTGGGCAAAAGACTTGGCAATAGAAAAGGAAGAAGACTAGTCGAAGCACATATTTTTTATTGGGAGCTAGGCAAATAAAGTTTAGGCCTGGGCGGCGTAGACGCACGGTCATTAATAAAAATTTTGTTTGTATCACAATATTATTTTTGCATCGACCAACAACGGAGACTTCTAGGATTCCTTATGCCCCGGTTATAGCTTCTTCTTCTTCTTTTTCTTTTTTTTGGTGGCGCTATTTCCACAACTTTTTTGGATAATACATACCTTTTTTTTGTAATAACTGATCAAATTACCCTTTAATCATAAAATTTGGTTAAATATTTATAATTAGCAGTGCCCCCCCCCCCCCCCCTCTCTCTCTCTCTCTCAATAAAATTTATTTATCGTTTCTCTAGTTCACATACCCTATTCGTACTAAGTTTCCAAAAGATAAAGTAGTTAACTTATTATTTGCATAGTTTTGAAATTAACTAAAAGTAAAAGATTTCTTTAGTCTAAAAAAAACTATGTTTCAAAGTCGAAAAATATCTTTCCTTTCCATGTGATAAATTCATTAATTCTTTTTTGTCTAAGTTTCAAATGATTTTGATGGAAGTCAAAACATAATCACAACTTCTTCACATCCAAATTTATATTCATTCATAGAAAAACAACCTCGAGGACAGGGTTCATAGCCATAGTGATAACTTTTTTTCATAGTTGAACAATAATAAAATTCTTCTTCTTCTTCTTCTTTGTTCGAGGATTTGAATTTCTTGTTAAAGAGTTAAGCTTTTGCTCTTTTAGAGAAAAATGTAAGTTGTTCTCTTCAAGCTAGGTTCAAGAAAGAATTAAGGAAAACTTTGAACTGAAACAAGATAGCAAACTGATAAAGCATAGGTCATTAATTAGACTAAAAAGATGAGAGGAAATATAAATACATGCCTTATAAAGTTGAAGACTAAAAAGATGAGAGGAAATATGGAGGACAAATTATTTTATGGTATAGTCTCGTCAAAATTCCTATATTTTTCCTGTTGGACATCAATATCTCCAAACCTTTTTTTCGGGAAAAATAACCCAATCAGTCCTAAACCTAATTTTTCAATTTTACCAATTTAGTTCTAAACATTTATACGAAATTTCAATGTAATCCTTCCGGCTAGTTTTTGCTGAAAATCGCTAACACGGCTATATAGTCATCGGCAGCCGTCCTACATGGAAAATTGTCACGACAGCAATTTCCAATGAAAATTGGCCGAAAGGACAATATTAAAACTTCGTAAAAAGATTTAAAATTAAATTGATAAAATTGAAAAGTTTTGGGACCCGTATAATGGATTTAGGACTGATTGGATAATTTCTCTCTTTTTTTCATCTCATCAATACTCCAAACTTGTACCAATGACCCAAAAATATCTTTCACTAGATTTTAGTCCATCATGATTGTTAAAAATCCGACATGACGTTGTGCATGCCCATTGCCTAGACCTGTCAAACAAGTTGGTCGGGTCGGGTTTGGGTCCGGTCAAAAATGGTCCGACCCAAATAAACCAATTAAACCTGTTTTGATCAATTTTCATGTAATGAAAATCTAATGACCCATACCCGACCTAACCCATAGTACTAAAATACTTACATATTTAACTCAATCTAAGAAAATCATACCTAAATTGAGATGAGAGTGTGGAGTGAGTGAGCTCAAGATTGAGTAAGGCGAGAGAGATGAGTTGAGTTTAAATAAGTTGTAAACCCATTTATGATCTATTTACGATCTGTTTAACATCCATATTATGTTTATACCTATTTATGACCCATTTACTAATATATAGGTTAAGAAATGGGTTTATGACTCATTTTGATAGGTTTATCATTGCCACATCGGATTTTCAACAATCATAATGCACGGAATTTTGATGGAAAGTATTTGTGAAACACCATGACACGTCCCGGGATATATTTGTGAGACGAAAGAAAATGTTGAGGTATAGGTATCGCGAAGTTTAGGATTTTCATGAGATTTTTTCTTATTTTTATTGTTTTGGAAGTGACGTTGCTCCAGGTCTTTTTAAATTGGGGTCCAATGAATAGTTCCACTTCTACTAGATTTGGGAGCGTGCACCAGAACAGGACGTAACTTCTGCAGTTTGACCAAGGCCAATTTGGTAAATACATTCGTCCTTTCTGAGTACAAAAAACAAGTAGAAAAATCAACATTGGAAAGATTAAACAATTTCATTTCTCAAGGCGGTCGAAGTTACCAAGTATTTTAGTTGACTGATATATATATTTAGTATTAAATGCACATGCATATGGCCCTGGTCCAGATTCCCTAGCAAAACGCGTTGACTAGTATGTTCAAAATTTACGACTAAGTAACATAACATATAATATAATCAACTTGTGTATCCTTGGACATTTTAAATACCAATAAGACCATCTTTTTTCTTATAAATGCCTAAAACTGTGGCATATTCTGATACCAACTGCTTCTTCTTCTTTCGACCTCGTTGTTGTGGTCGACAGTCGCCACACAAACTCCGTCCGTTCAACGAATTTTCAATACGTTGTGGTTTGTTTGGTTCTTGTGAGCACGAAAGATGACTCAATTGATAGCACTCTTTCTATGTGTTTTCATGGCGCTGGCATTGGCGGAGGCTAGAGTTCGTCACTACAAGTGGGACATGAAGTATGAGTTCAAGTCGCCGGACTGTTTCAAGAAGCTGGTCATCACCATCAATGGAAGGTCCCCGGGCCCGACCATTCTTGCGCAACAGGGAGACATCGTCATCGTGGAAGTTACCAATGGGTTGGTGACAGAGAATCTCGCGATCCATTGGCACGGAATCCGGCAGGTATATTGCAAACACATCGAAACTATGTCATGAAAGCCTTGACCGAGTGCTTGATGAAGATTGTAATACAAATACTATGAGACAATGACTTTGGGTTGGGTTAAAACTGTAGATTGGAAGTCCATGGAGTGATGGAACAGAGGGGGTGACTCAGTGTCCCGTTTTACCTGGAGACACTTTTACCTATCGTTTTGTCGTTGACCGGGTGAGTCCATATATATAGTAAAAAGATTATCAAATGCTTTCTTGCGTGTTCTTTTGGATGTGGAATTCACCTCATTTGATAGTTCATGGGAATTAGACTCACATATATCGAGTGAATCCCAATGCTTTGTCACTTAAATTTAGCCAGGTTAAATTCTCATCTCGCAAGGCAGCTTTAGATGACATTATACTTTCTCCTTATGTAGCCCGGAACATACTTGTACCACGCGCATTACGGGATGCAAAGAGAGGCTGGATTGTACGGGTCGATCCGGGTTTCGTTGCCGGATGGCATGGCTGAGCCGTTCGATCACGACTACGACAAGAGCATCATCCTCAACGACTGGTACCACAAGAGCACTTTTGAGCAAGCTGCTGGCTTATCCTCCATTCCCTTCGGTTGGGTTGGGGAGCCTCAGGTGATTTAAGTCAATTTGATTTCCAGTTTCAAAACTTAAAAGACCATCTTCACTCATTGCTCATACTTTATTCATTCTCTTTTGTTGCTTGAATTGTAGTCACTGCTAATTCAAGGAAAGGGAAAGTTCAATTGCTCCAAATTGGCCACTCCGACCTTAGATCCAACGGCTTGTAACACGACTAATCCCGGATGTTCGCCATACGTACTAACAGTCATCCCCGACAAAACATATCGCCTTAGGATTTCAAGTGTGACCGCTCTATCTGCTCTCAGCTTTCAAATTGAGGTGAATTTTCATCACCTATTCCGATTTCAAAGTCTCAAAGATGAAAAATGTTCACTTGACGTTTCATTTCGGAATTACATGCGAGAGATTGTGTTAAATTTAGCTTGGAACGTTGCATACAAGAATCTTAAAATGACCTTACACAGATGTTAGTTTGATTCCACTTGATAAGTTAATTTTTTCGGTTGAAATATTTTTTAATCGTGGCGGCAAATTGATTCGAGTCAACAGAAGGAAGTTGGTCCAGATACAGGGAAAGGCCATAAACGCCAATCTCGATGTAGGCCAATTATTAAATAAGTGTCCACTTGATGAGCAAATAAGATTATTCACTTGTACCAACAAAAGTCGAACAACGTTCAACGCAATTTACGTACATACACATTTTTTTTAGATATTATCTGATTTTCTTTCTATATACAATCAAAGTAACATGCTTCTTATATAAAACATTTGCAACGGCTTGTGCGTTGGAATTTCCTACTTGGATCTTATGACTAAATAAACTTTATTTTGTAGGGTCACAACATGACTATAGTTGAAGCAGACGGGCACTATGTGGAGCCAATTGTGGCCCGAAATCTGTTCATCTACTCGGGCGAGACATACTCCGTCTTGATCAAAGTCGACCAAGAACTGTCAAGAAATTACTGGATCATGACCAACATCGTTGGCCGGAACGCCACGGCCACGACCCCTCCCGGTCTAGCCGTTCTTAATTATTACCCAAACCATCCGAAGCGGGTCCCACCCACGGATCCGCCTGCCGGCCCGATTTGGAATGATGTCACGCCACGATTGGCTCAAAGCTTGGCGATCAAAGCCCGCCAAGGATACATCCATACTCCACCACCCAAATCAGACCGAGTGATTGTGTTCCTCAACACACAGAACAAGATTGACGGTTACTTCCGTTGGTCCGTGAACAACATGTCGTTCACACTCCCGCACACGCCGTACCTGATTGCCCTAAAGGAGAATCTCCACCACACGTTCGATCAGCACTCACCTCCCGACTGTCTACACGACTTTGCGAACTATGACATCTACCGCATCGCAAACAACACCAATTCCACCTCCAGCACCGCGATATATAGACTAAAGTTCAACTCTACAGTGGACATCATATTGCAAAATGCAAACACTATGACCGCAAACAACAGTGAGACACACCCATGGCACCTCCACGGCCATGATTTCTGGGTCCTTGGGTATGGGACGGGCAAATTCAACCTCGACAATGACCCAAAGAAGTACAATTTGGCAAACCCGATCATGAAGAACACAGTGGCGATCCATCCTTATGGATGGACCGCCCTCAGATTTGTCGCAAATAATCCGGGCGTTTGGTCGTTGCATTGCCATATAGAGTCTCATTTTTATCTGGGCATGGGCGTGGTGTTTGAAGAAGGTGTCGAAAAGGTGGGTAAGTTGCCTTCGGAGATCATGGGATGTGGTATGACAAAAGGCTTCAAGAGACCATGACAAGATTTTTTGTGCTTTTCTTTGGGGTTGAGAACATGTACATAGACATATAGATACAGATATATGTACATTTTAGGTCGTCGTTTGGGGGTGGTGAAATCATCGGTTCTGCTGTTGACCGGAGAGGGGGGCTGCCACCGCTGACGGTGACCCATGAATGGAGAGAGAGACTTGGGATGAAACTGGAAGATTTTGTAATAAAGTGAAGAGATTGGAGGAATTTTCTTCTATATTGTATTCTGTACAAACATATTCTCCAATTTATAGTACAATGATGAAGGATAAAAAAAGGAAGGAAAATATGTAAGATTACAATTTCCTATAATACAAAAACAATCAAGGATTGAATCAATTAGTCTGTAATCTAATTGTAATCAATATCCTCAATATCCTCCAAATCTTCAATCATATCTTCAACACTACCCCTCAAGTTGGCGGTTTGTATATGTCAAAAACACCTAACTTGCTCAATAGATATGAATGTTGTCTCTGACACAGTGGTTTGGTGAAAATGTCCGCAGGTAGTTCCATAGTTCCAATTCCTCTTGTGACAACTATCCCTTCTTGAATTTTATCTCGAATGAAGTGACAATCAACCTCTATATGCTTCGTTCTTTCGTGAAAAACAGGATTTACTGCTAATTTGAGTGCAGCATCATTATCACAAAATAATTCACTTGGTCCTTTAACTTATACTCCAAGGTCTGAGAGTAGACCTCGTAACCAAACTATCTCGCAAACAGTTTTTGCCATAGCTCGATATTCTGATTAAGCAGAAGATAAAGAGACAGTTGATTGTTTCTTTGTCTTCCATGAAATCAATGAATTTCCTATTTTAATGCAAAAATCAGTGATAGATCTTCTGGTCATCGGACAAGTGGCATAATCCGTATCACAATAAGCTGTCATCTTCATATCACAATCTCGAGATAAAAGTATACCGAGTCCTGGACACCCCTTTAAATATTTCACCACCTTTAGCGCTGCATTCAAGAGACTGTTTTGGATTATACATGAATTGATTGAGTATCTGCACTACATAACATATATCAGGTCTTGTCATGGTAAGAAAAATCAGTTTTCCAACGAGTCGCTGATATCCTGAGGGATCTTTAAGTAATGGATCTTCTTTAGGTGACGAATCCCCTATATCATATTCATGTGTTGTCAACTTGATATTCTACTCGATTGGTATAATAGCTAGTTTACATCCTGACAAGTCTGCTTTCGAGATAATTTCCAAGACAAATTTCCGTTGGCTGAGACAAATTCCCTTGTTGGATCGAGCTATTTCAATCCCAAGAAAGTATTGGGAGGTCCCAAATCTTTGATATGAAATGTAGAGTGCATATATTTTTTGAATTTCTCAACGGCAGATTCATCATTTTCCTATGATAAGAATATCATCAACATATATCAACAAATAAATTGATGATGTACCTCCAGTCCAGGTAAATAGAGCATAATCATATTTGGAGTGTTGGAAGCCTGCGTCTATAAGCGCATTGGTAAATTTGGCATACCATTGTTGAGAAGCCTGCTTGAGCCCATACAAGGATTTACCGAGACGACATACCCGAGACTCGCCCTATCTCCGTATACCCTGTGGAAGCTCCATATAGATTTCTTTATCCAAATCCCCATGTAGAAATGCATTATGGACATCCATTTGATGTAATTGCCAATTGCAAAAAGCAGCAATTGATAGAAAAGAACGAACAATTACCTCTTTGGCCACCGGAGAAAATGTCTCATGATAATCAAAACCCTCTCGTTATGTGAATCCCTTGGCAACTAGACGAGCCTTGTATCGTTCAACAGACCCATCTAATTTGTATTTGATTTTGTATACCCATTTACATCCAAGGGGTTTACGATATGGAGGTAATGGAACAATGTCCCAAGTATTATTCTTCATAAGCGCATGTAACTCGGTCTCCATAGCATTTTGCCATTGAGGATGACGTGCTGCTTCTTCGTAAGTGGATGGTTCTTGTTCCTCGGAAATTTGACTGATACAACACGTGTGTTCCTTCGATAGTTGGCTAAAGGAAACATATGAGGATACTGGATAGTGTGTACCTAGAGAATCCAATATAGGACATATATAATCCTTTGTCCATGTGGGGGGACGAATTGTACGTCCAGAGCGTCGAGGAGCTTCAGTAATTGTTTGTCCAAGAGTTGTTGAAGAAGGTAGGGGTGAGCAAAATGGACCGCCCAAACCGGGATTGGACCGGACCGGACCGGACCGACCGGTTTGGTCCTGTTCTCGGGAATATCGGTCCGGTTCCCAGTTCCTAAAAGTGGAACCGGTTTCCGGGCGGTCCGGTTCCCGGTTCTAGGGTGGGAACCGGACCGGACCAGACCGATAAATATATATTTTTCTAATTTTTTCATATATATATTTATTTACTTTTTAAATATATATATTTAAATAACAAAAGAAGCATTTGATAGTTCATTTTTATTCGGTTCCAATGGGACCAACCTAAAAATGCTTTCCTATATTGGTCCCGAAAATGCTTCCCGGTTCCCTCTTGCCTTTACCAATTGGTCCCATTGGAACCGGACCGGACCGGACCGGACCGGACCGACAGTCCGATCCGATCTACGGTCCCAAGATTAGCCGATCCGATCTCTGATCCTAGAAACTGGGAACCGGTCCTCCCAGTCCGGTTCCCGATTCTTGGGTTGGACAGGACCAGACCGGGAACCGTTCACCCCTAGAAGAAGGTCCCTCAATAGGAGGTGATGCCGATGTTACTGGTGAAATAGACGAGTTATCATCCTTAGATGATAAATGATTTTCTCAAGACAATATCTCTGGAGATTGAAATCCTGAAGGTGTAGACTGGATTGCTTTCTTTACAATAAAGATTTATTGAGGAGCTATGGATAGATCATCTTCTGATAAGAAATGCTTGTTGTTGGATGATGAGATGGATGATGAAGATGCCATCTCTTGAAATGGAAATACATCTTCATGGAAGGTGATATCTCGGCTTACGAAGAAACGTTCTGAAGATATCTCCATAATGATAACTCTATAAAAATAGAGTTATTTTATCTACTCTAGGCAATAAATAATGCAATATTTGTTAGAATATATTTGGATTTCCTTTTATTTACTTAATTTTTCCTTGTTTATGCAGAATATTGAGATATGGAGAAAATAAGGAAAATATGGCAAAAAGAAGAAAAGGAATATGCAACCCGGAGAAGAGTTAGAAAGTGGATATCACATTGGGAATTCTGCGATTTATTCCCTAATTTTATACGAAAAAGAAGCAATTGCCTTGTGAGAGGAGTCTTGGATGTTATCATATAAATAGGATAACTTGGGGGAACATGTAGTTTTTTTTTAGATCGTTTTTGTTTTTTGTTACCGAGAGTTTTTCAAGTATTTTGAAGAGAAGACAAAAGTGGTGACAGAATTCTTGTTCTTTGATTCAAGATGTTTGGTTTAATTTCTATTGTCGTTTCTTCTTCTATTATGTTCTAATTTTCTTTGTTAGAGCTACGATGTAGCCTAACCATGATGATATGAATTTCATGCTTTTTATGCTTTGCAAGTAATTTCATTCATGTGAGTTATATATTATTGTGCTTAATGCGTTTAGGTGATTGGCCACCACTTGAATGATCCGATGTGCATGTTTGAGGCGAGAAGTAATAATATGCAATTGCTCCTTATAATATATAACCATGCATTAAATGTGGATAGAAATATACCATGTTATTTGTGTAGCTTTCGGTGATAAGGTGGTCCAAAAGATTCATTGTAAACCGGAAATATTCATAGATTTTAATGCGCTTATGTTTATTTAAATTCACATAGAAATATAGTGAATTGATAAACCGAGTAGGTTTGCTATACCTAGAGATAGGATAGTAAATAGACTAGGAAATTCCGCTATCACATGTTTGATATTGTTCTTGTATGCATAATGATCCGAAATTCATATCTAGTGGTTATGGTGAAATTGGATGCTCTAACATATTTTACCCGATTGATTATCTCGCTTCGATTTAAAAATTTCATTTTTAAAAATTGTCAATTTTTATTTGTTCTCAATTATATTTTGATCAGTTAGATAAATTTTAGAATTAGTCTATTTTTAATATTTAATTGGTTTATTATCATCAATCTCGTGGGACGATACTCTTCTCATCATTATATTACTTGTTCAACACGTTCGTTGACACGTGCAAAATTTTACGAACAAGTTTTTGGCGCCGTTGTCGGGGATTGATTTGATAATTATCAATTACTATTAATACCGAGCAATTCTTGGTTTAGTCTAACATTATTTTTTAATTTTTTTAATTTTAATTTTATTAGTTTGATTTTACAAAAAAAAAAGAAGAAAGAGGAATTCGACTCTGTACAAGAATTGGGTGGAATATTGCATGACTCAAGCCAACGGGATAACTTGAGAAGTTTGATCCCGAAATTGAGCGCACTTTTCTAAGGCGACGACAAGAGCAAAACAACAACACCATGGCTGAAAACCAACAGGGAGAAGAAAATCCAAGGAGGACTTTGAAGGATTATGCCGCACCTACGGTCCAAGGATCAACATCAAGCATTAGGAGGCCAACCATACAAGCTAACAATTTCGAAATTAAGCCTTCCCTAATTCAAATGCTTCAAAACGCAGTCCAATTCAAGTGGATTGCCGAACGATGATCCTAATATCCATTTAGATGCTTTTCTTGAAATTTGTGACACTATAAAATATAATGGCGTTATCGATGATGCCATTAGATTGAGATTATTCCCTTTTCCTTGCGTGATAAAGCTAAGACGTGGTTAACTTCTCTTCGGGGATCTATCACGACTTGGAATGACATGGCTCAAAAATTCCTTAGTAAGTACTTTCTCTCTGCTAAGTCGCCAAGATGCGTAACGATATTACTTCTTTTATACGGATGGATGGTGAATCGTACGAAGCTTGGGAGAGGTTTAAAGAACTACTAAGGCGTTGTCCGCATCA